CAATATTTTTTAAGTTCTTTTTAAAAAAAAAAAAAAAAAGTAATTGTCGTCGAAACTATATACCACTATATTGCAGTCATGAAATTACACGAACGGGTTTATAACCTACAACCAGAGGTATTTTTATGAGATAAGGTTTCTTTATTTTTTCGAGTTTCTAAGCAAAAGTTCTTTACTGTATTTACTGTATGATAATCAATTATTTCTTTTTTGTAAAATATATTTTAATCAAATTTTTTTGTAAAATATATTTTCTTTAAATTTTATATTGTTATAACTTTTTTTATTAATATGCATATCCAAACTAATTTACACATTTCTTAATTAATCCCACAAATCTTTAAATTAATAATTATATAAATTTTTAAAAACTATTATATAAATAATTAGAGAGCTTGAATCTAAAATTATAAAATAAACAAACTTTTTAATTTCAAATTATTTTTTTATATGGTTATTAGGATAATAATAAGATCATATTTTATTAATTTATATAAAGAAGCACATGTTATATATTAAAGAATTACCTAAACATTGAATGATTAAAGAAATTACTCCATTGATTTTCTTTTTCTCGTATTTCTCACTTCAATTTTAAATTATCCGCTCCTATAAAATAAAAATTAAATCAGGAGTGCCCTTGACAGTGACCTTGCGATTTCTAGATTTAGTGGGAGCCGCTTAATCTCAGCCATTAAAAATTAAATGGATATGTTGTGGGTTGCTTTCATGGTCACAAGAACCGTTTATCCCATATGGAAACCCGCAACCGCAAGAAATTGAAGGGTGTGTGTTGGGGTAGAACGGAGGTGAGATATGATTTGTTTTTTATGAGATTCGTATGCTTGTTTATTGTGGTAGTTTTTTTTTATTATTAAATATGTTATATATTAAAATAAAAATCAATTACACCTCTATTTTAAATGGTGAAGATTCCTTCTACAATTCAGTACTCATGTTTGATTCTTTATTTTCCCGATAACTTTTACTCTTTTTTTACTCTATTTATTTGTTTGGTATGACAGTCATTGACTAATTTATCCCTCATCTCACACTCTAATTTTTTATTAGATATTTAACAATGCAGGTTATATATTTTTTAAAATAAAAAAATTATATAAACAAATTTTCTCAATATGTTTTTTATATCAAATTTTTAAAATAAAAATTATAAAGTTTATGTATATATATGTAATCTAATAAATCAAGAACTTTGTATATTAATAAATAAAAAAACATAAATAATAACTAAAATTAAAAATTAAAAAATAAATATAAATTAAAATATTTAAAAAATAGCATATTTTCATAACCAAAGTCCTATAAATGCAAATGTCATTTTGTTTTTGTGACTCTTCGTGCCGAGTTTTGAAGCCCGGCCAGACCCGGCAAGTTAACTCTGGACCGGCTGTCCCGAGACTGGAACTGGATTGGGTTAAAGAAAAAATAGAAAAAGAAAAAACCTAATGTGACCCGAATGATTCGGCAAGACCCGATCAAGAATCGGTTGTAAATTCATTGATTTTTTTTATTAAAACGATGTTATTTTGATTTTTTTAAAAATAAAATTTTACCTAATAACTCGATCAAAATCTAAAACCCGAATGTTAGATCGGGACGGCCACCAAACCTGGTCTTAAAACTATACCCGTACCTCAAATCATTATTCATGTAACCTGGTTTTAAAACTATACTCGTACCTCAAATCATTATCCGAATGATTCGGCAAGACCCGATCAAGAACCGGTTGTAAATTCGTTGATTTTTTTATTAAAACAATGTCATTTTGATTTTTTAAAAAATAAAATTTTACCTAATAACTTGATCAAAATCTAAAACCCGAATCTTAGATCGGGACGGCCACCAAACCGGGTCTTAAAACTATACTCATACCTCAAGTCATTACTCATGTAAATAATTTAATGTTTAAAGATCAAGCAGTCCTTTTCTAGTTGTGCGCTAGCTGCTAATTTTCTCAAATGTTCTCCTTTTCTTTTCCATTTGTTTTACTTAGAACTTCTCCTTCTGTCTAATTAATTGAATGAAATTTATAATCTCTAATCTTTTGCTGTTTACCCTTTTTCCTTTTATGATCAAGTGGAATATCGTTATTAAAATGGTTTTTTTTAAGATGATTATGTTTATTATATGTATTGAAATGTGAAACTCTGAATTCGCATTATGCAGTGAAATATATGAGATGACAACAAGGTTTCATGGGAACCTTTCATTGCTTTCCTACATTTCAATCAAGAGGGAAACCAAGGCTATTAGTGTAAACCTTGGGTCTAAAATTGGTAAATCATGTTAAATACGGTAATTTTCAATTGAATAATGATAATGAAGACAAAAAATTATTTTAGATGGGTATAAAAACTCTTAATAATTTAACTTAGATTTTATATGAATTAAAGTATTAAAGTTGGTAAACTTTCTAATTGGGTAAAATAATTATTTTAAAGGAAATGTTTTTGTATAAATTTAAGGTAAACATTGTAACTTCCTGGATAAAACTGATAAGTTTAATAATAAAAAATATTATGTTAAATGAGTAGATTAAGTGTTGGAATTAAAAAGGTGACTTTGATTTTTGAGAATTTAAAATAAAATGTTCATGTGTTAACTTAGAAATAAAAGTATGAAAATGTAGAAAAGTAAAAAACAAAAAAAATACTGATAAAAACTAAATGGAAGAGATAAAAAAAAGGAAAGCTATATTCTAGGATATAATTTAATGTAACTCGTTGAAACTCAATATTAAAAACGTGTCTAAATCTAGAAAATATAACCCCACAAATATTAAAGGCATAATGTACATCTGTAGCTTAAAAATTGATAAATATAGAGATTTTTATAAATTTAAGATGAAAATATTTAGAAAAATATTTTAGAATTTTCAAATAAATGACTTTGAACATCGTTGTAAGTTTGCATGGAATTGCATAATTTTTAACTTGAAATAGAATAAATTTTAAGGAAAATTTATATTATAAATAGAAATAGAAGGTTTTAATGAATTAGTTAAAAATTTAGATGATTAAAGTAGATAAAGCAGTGGAAAATTTTGGATTTTTAGCATAAAATTATTGTTGGTTAATTTTACACTATCATATGTAATTATCAATTTGACTATTGTATCTACATGCAATTTCATGAGCAGTCTCCTAACATGTTATTATACCTAGGGTTAAGAGTTTAAATTGATCAAAGTTTAGGAAGGTTTCACAATAGTACTGAAGTTAGGGTAAAATAACATATGAATAATATGTAGGGTAAAAAATTATTTATAACATGATAAATTATCTTAAAATTTCAAAATGTTAAACTCCTAGATTTTTATCATAAGTAACAGCTACATGTTATATTTTACATATAAACACTACTTATTCACTTAATGTAAGGAGACACTTGATATTAACCAACTCTTTAATCTAAAAATGTTTCATCATTTTCATAAACCTTTTAAAAGCTTTGAACTTTATTTGTATCAATCATCAATTTCACATTGTTGAACTAGATTACTTTTTATAAGGAGTTGAGTTTAATTCACTGTAATATTATCTTTATTATGAGATGTGATAAATCTTTTGAGAGAATCCATTATGAAAATACAAATAGCTCTTGAACCACTTGAGAAAATCTTGATTATGAGCTATTGAAAGGTTAAGATATTCATCCTTGATAAATATTGAGAGTGAAGGGTTTTCTAATATTGAACTTGTAATATATATATATATATTGTTAAAGTCTCACCCACAAGAAAATTATAAGTTATTAGTGAATACTTGAATGATAATTCAAGAAATAAAGAAGATAAGATTGGATGAACCACTATAAACTTGATGTCTCTATCTTAATTATTTTCTCTTTTCCTTTGTGTACTTTCATAATCCTTGTTTCATTTTTTTAAAGTGTTAAAAGATAAATGTTTTCAAGATATTAAACTTTCAATTAAGCTCTTAATTCATCCATTCTTTTATATGCTTTTAAGATTTTCATAAATCTCTGAGTTATGCTAAAATTTTTTTTGACATGAGTAATATCATTTGTTACAGTTGATGTTATGTTGAGATTTTTAGGTTTTATTTTTTTAGTCATATCAATATCAAATTTCACGTATTATTTTGAAGGTCTAATAAAAAAATAGTTTAGAAATTGATGATTTAATTATATTTCAAATTACATTTTAACTCTAAAATTTTAATCATTTATTTTTTTTACTATTATTTATTTTAGTTGTTCGCATAAAGAATGATTAAGGTGATTATTAAAGATTAAACCTAGAAACAATCAAGTTCTTTTTTGATTGAATAATTTTTTAAAATTATCTAAAATAATACATGTAATTTTATTTAAGGATAAAATTAATATTTTATTATTTATAAATTTTTTTAGATTTTTTTATAAATAAAAAGATATGTTTTCTATTTTCTAGGTATGCTCAAAACACCAAACATAAAAGAAAATAATTAACACTCAAAAATACAGTAAAAGAATTTAAAAGATTTTTCACTTATAATTTATATAGATTATAGCTGGAAGTTGCAAAGATTAGCGGTTCTAGAACCATCAATGATTGGTGAACCTACAGATCTATTTGCAATTTTTTTGGAAATATTGTCTGAATGGTATTTCTTTCCCGTATTTCAAATATTTCGTACAATATCCAATAAGTTATTGGGTGTTCTTTTTATAGTTTTAGTACCTACGAGATTATTAACAATACCTTTTTTTGAGAATATTAATAAATTTTAAAATTTATTTCATCATCCGGTCGCGACAATTGTGTTTTTGGATTAGTACTGTAGTAGCCCTTTGGTTGGGTATTGGAGCAATATTACCTATTGTCACAACAATATAATTTTAAAGTAATTATTAAATGAAAAAAATATTTTTAAATAATTTTTATATAAACTTTAAATAATTTTAAATATGTATAGTAACATCACTCGAACTCTCTAAAAAAATTTAAAATTTACCGGTTATGTATATACGTTTCAGCAAACGTAACATATACTTCCCCGAAGGAGGAAATAGGGTGCAGTCTCCAATGAGAATCTCGCCTTCGAAACTTGTGAATTCAAAGGAAAATAATTAAAGGCGGTGACTAAAAATTGCCTTGCATCTTGTGTGTGTACTTGTGTAGATAGCAGAGAGTCAGCGGACAACTTTTCCAACTGATCTACGGGCACTTTCTTGAGTAGTTGAAGGGTTGGAACAGCTGCACGAAGCAAACTTAAAGTTTTTCATTCTTGCTGCTCCACCATTTCGTAATGGAGTCCTAAATCTGGTCTGTCTTCTTTTCACTGCCTGGTTCTCTGATCCCTGCTCAAAGAAGAGAAATGGTAATATCAAAATACCACATAGAACCGGTATCAACAACATGCACGCGCCTCTTATTATTCCTGGAAGATGTAATATTCCAGGAATGATGGGTTTAACTGTTGTTTCTTGCACTAGGAAAGACAATCGTTTCAAGTGTTGAGTTTTAGCTATACATACAGATCAGAATGGTTTCAGCTGATTTAGCAGCAGTAGTGCATAATTCTAGATAAAGAGCCCATCCGCAGTAAATTGTAAATCTTTATACCTTCTGGGTGGTTTCCTTCAATGATTTGTTTTCATCTTTATCACCGTTTTCTGCAAAACACAGGAGGACGGTGAATTTCTTTTAGAAATTTACTATTAATTTAGCAGTAATTGGTCCTACCTGTGTTTGGTTTGGAAAGGAAAAACTCAAGAATTTATAAACTACACTGACGTTCATTCTTGCTATACATAACATGGAGAACCTGTAATGTTTTGGCATTATTTTTAGCCATAAATGTTCAGCCTTTGAGCTTTGCACTTTTCATCTCAACAAGAACCCTCCACAAAGAAACTAATAAATCCAAGGTCTCAGAAAGAGAATGGTTCAAACATAAATCTCTCAGAAAACTAGACTGTTGTAATCTATAATAATGCTGATTATATTATTTGATCATGCTTCCTTGATTTTCTATTAATTGAGCATCTAAAACATTACAGCTCATCTTTTCACCCCTAAAAATCGAGAAAGAAAAGACCAGATCGGAAAAACAGAGCCAAAGAAATTTGATCATGGAATAATCCTAATTAATTATCTTTTGATTGAAATCTCACCTTCATTGCCATCACCATCGACTGAGACATTATGAGCGCAGTATACCCTGAAGCTAGGAGATTCTTGAAAACATAACATGCTGTCCTCCCTTGCTTCCTTTTCATTGCTAACAGCCTCGTCCATCACCTCAGTGTCCACAGCGGCCTCCTCACTAGGGTTCCTTTCCGTTATAATATCCTCCTCTGCCATGTCCTCTAATTCGACTGCCTTCACATTTGCTCCTTGATGAATATTATGATCAACCTTATTCACATATTTTGCTTCTTGATCAATATCTGGTTCTGGTTCTTTGAAAGATGTTTCATATTCCATTTCATGTGAATTTGAAACACTTTTTCGTGCATTATGGATAGGCTCTCTTTCGCTTTCCAAGCTTCGATCTTTATCATTAGAGCCAAGAACCCTCCTCAAGAATCCCCTTTCAGTTATAAAGGAAAAGCTCTTCCGACCACGGCTAGCTGAAGAACCGGTTTCCTCTTCATTTTTGCAGCCACTTTTATCATCAATGCTTTGACAAATGGATCCAACATTTTCAAATCTTATCCCTGCCGCCTCCTCTGGCCGTAGCTTTGAAATGTCACGGTCCATGGAAGAAGAACATGTGCATGGCTTAAAACAAAACAAATGAGTTTTGAACAACATAGAGAAATTAAGGCATTGCACAAATGGTCTCTTTCGTTGAGAACCAGGTTATATGTTCTTAATTTATTTTTTTGATGAATCCCCAGTAATGCGGATGTATAGGTTCTAATAAAACACAGGGGAAGATTAGTGGAGGATTTGACGGGGGGGTCGGTTTGCTAATCTGCTTCTTGCTATAACTATATCAAAGATGAGTTTCTGTTATACATCATCATGGTATATGAAGCAGTTAGGGAATCCTCTCTTTCATCGGTGTCTCTTGATGTGACCTTATCCGTTTCTCTTGCCTCCATGGTCATAATAGATGCTTCATGCTGAGACGATGAGATGTGGTATGAATTTAAATTTTTATTGTATAAAGATTTTATGTTATACAATACAAACCTTACATAATAGGTATTTTTTTTTGTTAGTCTATATCCCCCGTAATTATTTAATTGATTAAATATGGCAATGCCTTTATTAACGCAAAAAATATTTATTATTAATAAATATTTTTTTTAAATATTTATTTATATTTGATTAATAAATCTAATATCCGATTAACAAATCCAAAATAATGATAAAGTCTTTTGATAAAAAAATTTTATAAAGAAACTTATATATATATATATATATATAATTATGAGATTCTTATTGCACAAATATTATTCCTAAATATTTATAGTCGATACTCTATGAAGACTTTCTTTTTATAATGTTACCTTATTCTCATTTAATTTTTTTCTTTATTATCAAATAAAATCATTGAGACATCTTAAAAATATTTAAAGGGTATCTTTTCATAACATCGACAAATGATTAGTACTTAAAAGTACATTTTTATTAAGATTTTATATCATTATTTTGCATTTGAAGTATCAATAACTCCTTAACTAAAACATGTTTTATAATATAAGATACCTTTAATTTATGGTTGTAACACTTATAATGACTTAAATTTTAGCATAAACACCATCATATTAAAAAACAAATTATTAAAAAATAAAGCTAAAACATGGCTATAAAATTTTAAGTTGGGATCCATTCATACTTGAGATGAAATGCAACAACAATTTTAAAAGAAGTTTTTTCTATCTCATAGAACAAACTCTTTCAAAAGACAAATCACCACTTTTACTCAAAAAACCACTTTTACTCAAAAACCAGGAGAAACATTTTACCAATGTTGGGATAGGTATCGAGACTTGCTTAGTACTTGCCCTCATCATGGTTTTGAAACATGGAGATTGATTTTATATTTTTATAAAGGGTTAACACCTAAAGATAGACAAATAATTGAATTAATATGCAAAGAAACTTTTGAAGATAAAGACCCTAATGAAGCAATGGAGTACCTACACTTGTTAGCTGAAAATGTTCAAAATTAGAACACTGCAGACATTTATGAGGTACCAAGTAAAACTCAACCTCATACATCTAGTGGAGGAATGTACAATCTTAGTAAAGATCATGACCTCCTAGCTAAATTTGCATCTTAGCTAGAAAAGTCAAGGCATTATAATTGAAAATGAGTGGTTAATTAAAATATGTTCAAGACATTGTGTGTCAAATATGTGAAACCAATGAACACTCAACCAATGATTATCCAATTTTGCCTTATTTTAAGGAATACCTCTATGAACAAGCCCATGTATTAAACAGTTTCTAAAGGCCCAATTATAACCCATACTTGCAAACATACAATCCTAGTTGGAGAAATCATTGAAATTTTAGTTGGAAGAGTAGTAAAAATAATGTATAAACTTCACAGCCATCGTTTTAAGCACATCATAAATTTTGAAATTCTCATGTATATACATCTTCTTATGCTTTACCTCCTAGAAGAAATCTTGAGAAAACATTGCATGCATTAATTGAAAAGTAGGAGATAAGTAACACTCAAAATGCTCAAACCATGGCAAATTTAAAAGATACTCTTGCAAAATTTATATCTGGTTTCAGTTTTTAGGATAAAGGTAAGTTCTCATCTTAAATACAATAAAATCCTAAGGGGCAATACAATTTAAGTGCAAGTAGCTCTAGAAGCCAAACATGGATTAAGTCAAATCAGTCACTACTCTTCGTAGTGGTAAGGTTATTACAAAATTCACTCTTGAACCTTGTAAGAAAGATGAGTTAATATTTGAGGTTAAGGAAGGGGTTGAATCTGAACATTGCAAAGAAAAGAGTGATTCCTTGCCAGCACTTTCATTTCCTTATGCCATGACAAAACAAAGAAAAGTCAATCACAACTTTGAAATCTTTGAAACTTTCAAACAGGTAAGGATCAATATACCTTTGATGGATGCTATTAAACAAGCATCTTTCTATGTTAAATTTTTGAAAGATCTGTGCACTATAAAAGATGACATGACCGAAAGATTGATGTCTTCTCTCAAGTGTAGGAGTGTCGAAGTAATAAATAACCCGGCAAGACCGAAGTCAAACCACAAGGAGGTTAACTATATAAATTATAAATAAAAACAACAACAATAACAATAATAATAAGTTAAAGAGAACTTTGAGATTGTAAGATTAATGCGAGGATTAAACAATAATAATAAAAATATCAAGATTAGAGAATTCACTAATGGTATTTCAAACAAGTATAGTATAAACTCTTTTTATTACTCAACTGAAAACCACACACAATGGAGGTTCTAATAGGATTATAAATTATTAATATGATTATATTAGTTATATTATTCGCTAATACTTATGAATGTTGTCAGGTATTCATGATTATAACTTATATTAACAACAAATCAAGTTCTTTTCATAACACATGTGTAGGTTATATCATACGGTTGGGTTATGAAAGTGCCAAGTATTTGTTGTGTCAAGTACTATACAACATAAATCTAGATTAACCATTTAACAAGCAAAGTATTAAAAGTGAAAAAGATAACAAATACAAAACATAAAATCAAACATTAAAGTCCATGTTGAGCTTATACTATACTTAATCTTACACCATTAGTGTAATATTTTCACCTTGACATAATAAACTTAGCTAAAAATAATGAAGAAAAGAAATATAAATAAACAATATAAGAATATAAGTATAGTAAAGGAAATGAAAAGTATAAATAAAAGATTAAGAAAAATATAACATGAAATAAAACTTAAACATTACAAAAAAATAAATAACATGATCTTGATCTGAAGATCAAGATGCCTAAATGCATGGCAAATGCCTCATTTCATAGGTCATAATTAGAAACTATTGATTTGTTGACTAATTGTTAAGTGGGTGGCCACATCTTGACTTGGTGACAAACCTTATCTTCTTGTCTAAACAAAACATTATTGCTAACATTAGAATTCAAATGAAATTAAATATGGAAGTTCTAGGAAATTATCTTAGCTTTCTAACAAAAAAAAATAAGGTCATTTGAACTTCTAGAACTCGAGATATGGGCTGAACACTAAATAGTGTCCAGGCTGCAAGACAGATTCAAACTTTTCTGTTGTTCTAAGATTTGGACTACCAAACAACAGAATTGAGTCTTCCCTTTTCATTAATGTTTTAGGCCTATGTCTTATCTTTCCATCCATATAAAGCAAACCTAAATCCAAGATCTATAGCTCCATATATGACCCAAAGACCAAACAGTGTTTCAATTGGGGATGAACTAGCATCTCTTTTCTAAGTTTGGCCTTCTCTTTATCGTTTTAATTTCAGTACTTAAACTCATTTATTAATCCTTTTATTTATGTGATAGGCTTGCATTTAAGATGAATGTTTACTAAAAATTAAAGGTATCTTATAATATCAGACTTGTTATTATAAAACATGCTTTAGTTAAGGAGTTATTGATACTTCAAGTGCAAAATAATGATATAAAACCTTAATAAAAATGCACCTATAAGTACTAATCAGAAGATAAAACTGAATGTGAAAAATAAATTCTTTTTAACCGAATAAGTAAGTGAAATTCTTCAAAACAATAACGCTTTGAAATACAAAGATCATGGTTGTCTTATAATTTTTTACTTTATTGGAGAACGTAAAATTGAAAGAGCTTTACTTGATTTTAGAGCTAATGTGAATTTACTTTCATATTCAATTTTTCAAAGTCTTAATATAAGTGAGTTCAAACCAACTTTTATAATTGTTTTACTTGTTGATAGATTTGTAAAAGTGCCTAGAGGAATAGTAGAGGATATGTAGTACAAGTTGATAAATTCATTGACCCTGTAAATTTTATTGTCATAGACGCACAACCTATTGAAGCATGAAATTCATTTCCTATTATTTTAAGGTGTCTGTTTCTTACAACTTCTAATGCATTGATTAATTATAGGAATGAATTGATGAAGCTATCATTTGGAAACATGATATTGAAGATAAATATTTTCAACATTCGCAAGCAACGTGAAGATGATAATAATCTATAATAAGTAGATTTTATTGAAGAATTAGTTTATGATCAACTTGAATATACTTTGAGTAAAATTGAGTTTGATGAACCTAAAGACTTGCAAATGACTTATTCTCCAGAAAAAATCACGGATAAAAAAGGCACCGACAATGTTGATATGGATCTTTTGTCAAGCATGACCATAGATTCAACATCCAACATCACACCAATCGAGGATTACTTTTCTAACGAATCTTTACTTTCTCTTAAAT